GTCCTCAGAATTTGAAATTTTTCAAAGATAAGATACAGCAAACTTAGAAAAGTGTGTTTCCACAAGACAAGAGCCAATGTTTGGTGTCGTGTGTGGTTAAGTCACTCTCCTCAGGCTCCATCAACAAAATGGCTTCCCAGTGTTTGTGCTACCCCAGCTCCGTCTCAACACCAGAGTGAGCAGGTGGAAAACCAAGCATGTAACAGTCCTATAACATGGGACACAGGGTGTGTTACATGCCAAACACCATGTTAAGGGGCCAATGAGTGGTAATGTGTATGATCCTAGCCAGCCTGTAATGCAGACATAATTATTACCCCTGCATCCCAAGCTGCAGATGGGAAAGCTGAAATGCATGCTATGGTTTGGAGAACAAACTAGACTTTCGTGCTGCGTGCGCTAGAGCAGCGAGCAATGTAACGATGAACAGGATGGGCATGTGTGAGGGTCTACTTAGGACTAGCTAGGGCCAACCTTTGGGACAGTAGCAATGAGCAGTGGTAGTGATGAGCAGAAACCTACACCAGATAGAGACCACCATGCCCAGAAGCCTTAAAAGTTATACCTGCCCACTGGTCCTGGTTTCCAGTTCAGGGCTGGGCCTTGGCTTCTACATTCTGCAGGAAGTGCCTTTTTCTGCAGGCCAGGGTTGAGAAGAACCATCCTTAAACACTCTAGGTGCTACCATCAAGAGAGGCCTGGGAACTAATTGGTTCCTTCTATAGACTGAATGGGCTTCAAGGCCCCAATCCTTGTGTTGAAGCCCTTGTCTTCTATATGGTGGTATTTAGAGGTGATGATTTAAGGTATATGGAGTGAAAGTTAGTGTTAAATGAGGCCATGATGGTGGGGTTCCTATGATGGGATTAGTGCCCTTATATGAAGGAGGAGTAGGAGGAAGGGGGGGAGGAGAGAGAAGGAGGAGGGGGAAGATAAGCGAGCTTCATCATGTTTTCTCACTGCCATAGGAGCATGCAGCAAAAAGACAACTCTCACTAAGGCAGACAGAGAGCCCTCCCAAGACACCAGGGAACCAGCAACTTGATCTTCAGTTTCCCAACCTCCAGAACTGGGAGAAAGCATCTGGCTAGCCACCCAGCCTAGGGTATTTTGTTAGGGCAGCCAGAAGTTATAACTGAGAGACTCAAGGTCTCTGTCATGCGTTACTATGGCATAGAGTTTGTACACACCCAGTACCTTGCCTTCTGTAGTGCTTGCTCTGTGTATAGACCAACAATTCTCAACCTATGGGTCAAGACCCCTTTGGGAGTCAAACAGCCCTTTCACAGGGGAAAACACTGGAAAACATAGATATTTACATTACGATTCATAACGAGCAAAATTACAGTTATGAAGTAGCAACGAAAATAATTTTATGGTTGGGGAGCTCACCATAGCATGAGGAACTGTATTAAAGGGTTACAGTATTAGGAAAATGGAGAACCACTGGTATAGACTGCAAAAAGAAATATCTAAGGCCTGGAGGTCAGATTGTACCTTCACACTTCTGAGGGAAAATTATGAATTTCCTATAGATGACACTGGCCATAATGAAGTAATTATTTTTATTTCCCTATGTGAAAAACAAATAAACAAATGCTTAGGAAATTTACTATGTTAAACCAAGTATAACTTTGTATTAAACATTCACACACAATTTTTCAGCGCTGGGACAACCAAAGGCAGAGCCTTACGCAGGACAGGCAAACGCTCCACCACTAAGCCATGCCTCCAGTCTAGCATTCAAAGACTGTTCAAGCATCTACCTGCAAGTGTCCAGCAGTGGTCTAGTGCATGCTCACTGGCATCTGGTGTACACATGACTCACTGGGGACCTTGTTAGGATGCGTATCTGATCTAGTGGGCGAGAAGGTGAGATAGTATTCCTAGCAGGTTTCTAGTGATGTCCCTACAATGAACCTCTGGGTCCCAGCCTTGGCAGCACCAACTTTAACTTCCTCTTGGAAACACCCATCACACTCTTGAAAAGCATGGACACGGTCACACTCCTGACCTTCTAACCTGGAGCCCCAGCCCACCTTTATCACAGCCACAGCCCAAGATGTAAGCCTTGGGTGAGCATCTACCTGCTCCCACGTGTCCAGCCATGCTGACCAATAGCTGCTTCAGCCACATCAACCTCCAAGTGCCCAGGCACCCAGCCTCTCAGGTTCCCAGACACACTAACCCTCAGGAGCACAGCTGTACTGACCCCTAAGTGAATACCGACTTTCAGGTAGCTCTTGGAGAAGTAGCTTTGCTCACTCACTCCAGATGTTTAGCCTGTGACTGAGGCCTAAGACAATCCAGAGCCCAATCCCATCTGACCTAAATAGCTGACTTAGGGCTATCATAAGGCCAAGCCAACAGAGCATGTCTCAGGGTTCAGATATACTCTTTGCAACATTCAGAGCCTGCAAGGACCATCTTCCCATGATAGAACACAATTGAGTCCAGAGACTGGGGGAGCTGATTTATAGACACCACTGACTTCTGACTTCCAGTTACCAAGTCAATCATTCCCCTTGTTTGCTAAACTCAATAGGGAAGGTTTCTGTCATTGAAACAAAGGGCAACCTCCTCTATATCCAGAACCCCAGCAGGCCAGCTCTTCCTCCTGTGTGCATCAAAAAGGAAGTGTCTCCTGCAGGACTGACTACGGGTCTCTGATCCTTCATTATCACCTGGCTTTTCTGGGTCCAGATCTTGTCCACTGCAGAGATTGCCTCTTGTAACCTGCTTAGACGCCACAGTCTGTGTCCACATGGGAGCTGGCATAAATAATAAATAAATAATTGCTGAGATGTAAACTAGAAAGATAGGAGGCATAGAAGGAAGTCCCTGCCTGGCCTGGGAAGACTTACTTTGGGTGGTTTGAACGAGAATGGTTCATTGAATACCTGGTCCTCACATTGGTAGAACTATTTGAGAAGGATTAGAAGGTGGGCTTTGTTGGAGGAGGTGTGTTATGTGCTGGACTTGAAATTTTAAAAGCTCTGTGCAATTACCCGTAGGTATTTGTGTCTTTCTCTCTGCCTCCGACTTGTGGATCAAGAAGTGAGCTCTCAGCTGTTTCTATTGCTCCACCATCATGGACTCTCTGAAACTCTACACCCAATTAAACATTTTTTTATAAGTTATCCTGGTCATGGTATTTTGCCAGAGCAATAGAAAAGTGACTAAGACAGCACCAGAAGTCAGGTAACCCAGAGATAAGGTCTTAGAAGCCACTAAACTGGCCTTGATGTCCCCATCTTAACAAAAATACCGTGAAGACTGTGGTATGTCACACATCAAAATGTGCTTTCACCGCATCTTCTCATTGGCCGGAACCTTCCTATGTGCTAGGCCCCACTATGGATATAGTCAGGGTAAAGTGTAATCTGAGTGTTAATTATTGCTAAAGAAATGGGTGGTTTCTGGCATTTCCCTCTCCACAAGAGAAGGCCAGTACCTTCCTGCAAGATAGAACACACTGCATGAGTGTCCATGTAATGCTTTTTGACCAGACTGAAAATACAGGGACCATGATAGAGCAGGAAAAAGCTCTAGCATTAGAAGTAGGGGGGGTGTCTAATTCAAGGGGGCACTTCTAGAATGTCAGGTCCCTGGGATGACAGAAGGGATCCAGTACTACCCATCCCTGGCATTACACATGCTAATGATTGAGTAAACCTCTTGGCAGGAGCCAGGGCGGTACCCAAACTAAGAAGATGAGTTAGGAATGTATATTGGCAGCATAGTACCACTGTCCATAGGGTCGCCGTGATGAGTGGGATGAATAGATGCTCAGGCTAAGTAGGAATTACAATGCTGCTTTGAAAGTCCTCACTACTCCATTCTCCAAAGAGAGCTTCGTGGTGCTGAACTCTCTCTAAGCAAGACAGTTTGGAGATGACAGAAACCTTCATGAGCACATGGACCCCAAAACACAATGTAGGCACACAGACCAGGGCTCTAAAGGCAGCTTCAGTGCCAACGAGTTGTGTGACTTTGAGCAACTTGTATCTCTACCACAGACTTTTCCTAACCTAGAAAAGACATCGCCTTACTGAAGCCAGCACCAGAAGCCTGGCGCTCCACATCCAAGCCCACTCCCTTGCATGGGAGTGTCATCTCCTACACACAGCCCTCTGCAGAACCTCTCCTCAACAGCCCAGAGTAGGCAAGCACTAGTCTATAAAGCACTATAGGTTATAAATCCCAGAAAATTATGTGATTTGCCCAACTCAGTAGAAAAGTCATCTACAACAAAATCTTCCATTTCCCTCAGGACTTTTGAATTCTTCACCCCCACTGTATTCTCTTCCAAAGAGCCCAAAAGATGGATCCAGAGCAAATGCCCTAGACCTGCCCTCTGAGAGGCCCAGACAGCTTTCACGTGCTTGCTGCCAACTAGTATACTCTCTACTCCTGAGAAGCCTGCCTGAAGCAGAATTGATCAGGTATCACTCCCTGGGAGCCTACTACCCCAGATACTCCTGAAAAGAACATTAAAACTGCTTCCCAGGACAAGCAAAATCCAACTAAGTACTTCCATTAGAGAGGAAGGCCTAATAACCAACCCGGAGCTCCCCCTTTCAGCAGCCTGGAGTGCTCCCACCCTGGTAGGTCATCTCACAAAAATATCCACCACAAACTATGGACTCATTGTCCCAAGGGGGTCATCAAATGCACACAAAGGGCAAAGGAGGGAATGACAGACACCAGGGCAAAGTCAAAGAATCACGAGAATGGGAAATGCATTGCCTTTCGAACAAAAGATAACATTTTTAGACTCTTGAGTGTGACCTTCGTAGTCGCTGGATAAAAAAGAAAGCCCGTGTTGCTTAGCGGAGTGACTGGCGAATGTCTATAGGTTTCATTTCAACACCATACAGCTACCCTTTCTCACTCAGGTTCCTAAGTTGGTCTTTATCAGCATTAGCTGGATCTGTCCTCCTAAGCATCAAATCCAGGCTGGGTTAAATGTCTGCAGGAAAGGGGAGGCTCCATCTTACCAGGATCTGTGCAGTTCTTAGCCGGTGGAGTTCCATTGATTGGTGCCATCAACTTTCTATTTCTCCACGTGTCTGGCAGAACATGTTTGTTAGCAGAAGCTGTTTTGTGGCCTGGATTGGAAAAAAACCAAGGTCACAGATACCATCAGGTCAATGTGATTCTTGAGTTCTCAAAAATGACCTTGTACTCGTCCATATAGCTAGGCCAGCCACAGTCACATTATTTTTAATTATATGTATGTGTCTATATGGGGGTAAGTGCATATGAGTTCAGGTGTCCACAGAGGCTAGGATCTGCCAGGAGCTGGAGTTATAGGTGTTTGTGAGCCACCTGACTGGGGGTGCTGGCAATCGGCCTTGGGTCTTCAGAAAGAGCAGGCAGCGCAGGCTCTTAACCGCTGAGCCATCTTTCCAGCCTCAGGTTTGGCTATTTAGAGCCACCTGTAGGGAGTGATACAGTGATTGGCAGAATGCTATCACCTGCTCGCACACAGTATTCTGTTTCCTGAATCTAATCCATTGTTTCTAGTTTCCCGTGGGTCATTGTGTGATCTGACCTTGGACAAGACTGAGCTGGTCTCAGCTCCCTCCGCCCACCCCCACTCAACAAAGGATTTCATTAGGAGCATTAAAAACTGCCCAGTAAATTTGCCCAAGGTGGTTCCTACAACTGGGTGGTTAAATTTGTGAGCTCAGCCAGCTGATGGTAGGCGGCCAGGTGTACATGGGGATCTGGTCAAACTACAACTCTGATTTAGTAGGTTCAAAGTGGAGACAGTCTATAGACAGTCTATAGTATCAAGCTCCTAGGTCATCATGCTGTGGTCCAAGGGGTCACACAGAGCCCTATCACAGAGGGCATGGAGGCCTCTGAGCAGAGATAGTTAAATACCCAAAGCTAACTCCTGATCTAGCAAATAAAAATAGCTATGGCTTCAGGCTGCTCCTTAAGTATCCATTTACTTGTCCAGATGCCCACTGTCTCAGCTGGATAGCAATAGCTCCTCCAGAATGCCCACACCTATACATTTTGTTATTTCTTGTGTTCAATTGTCCAATTGCAAAACATTGGATATTGGGGTGTTAAAATAAACTTTCTTCAGCCCTCTACCCCCAAATCACAGTTTGGGTGTTGAAAGACAGTGCTGTCCTTTTCTTTTTAAAGTTTAAACAGGTGTCACTTGCTTTTCTCATCACTGCACACTCTACGTGGTCTTGAGATGCTATGTCAGTGGGCTTTCTAATCACTCAAAAAGGTGCCCTCTCTCCCCTGTGCCTTTGCCTTGATGGCTAAGTTGGCAACATTGATGTTACATGGGGGGAACCCCAAAAGGTTCACAGCACCCATTTCTGAAATATCTAGGCAGTTTTGAAAGTCTCTTCAAGACTAACCAGGAGCCCAAATCCCTCCGAAATAAATATTTCATAAGTTTCTTCTCTTTCCCCACTCTGCCTGAAATTTGCATGTCTTAACAGACTCCCAGGTCGTCTTTTACTTGGAGGAGTGTAGATCAGGGCTGCGCATGCCAGCCCTCCCCTTCCGTGGGGATTAAACAGAGTTGGGAGAAGCGTTGCTGGAACATGGCAGCAATCTCCCGGGGACAGACTGCCTCTCTCCCTTTAGGGATTGGGAGGACGCCTCAGGAAACCCAGGCTACCCATTTGAATCAGAGCATGAGCAAGGGGAGAGCTGAGACCTAGCTTAAGAATCTGGGTCTCTGAGGGGCCCGAACACAATTTTTGCAGCTGTGCAAGACAGAAAAGTGGACTGCTCGGTTTCGCACACCCTAAAGCAAGAGAATCTACCTCTGGGCTGCCCTGAGTTGCCCAATGCCTGCACACTCCAGGGAGAGATGGTGCAGGCTTTGGCCCCAGCAAAATACACCTACAGCCGCGTCCGGAACCCCAGGGACCTTGAGCAGCTTAGCAGAACCGGCGCCACAGTCCAGCGCGTGCCTCAACCCTCCTGTGTGCGCACTACTCCCCCTCCCCCTGGCCGGGAGTGGAAACCCTGGGGACCAATCTGACAGGGAAGGAGTTGTAGCTGTCCTGAGGCTTCCCAGCTCAGGGCCCCTGACTACCCGGGTAGAGAACATCATCCCAGCACCTACCCAAGCTTCCAAAGAGGCCAGACGCACAGCACACCAGGGCCAGCACGGCGCAAACGAAGCCAACTTGCTGCGGCAGCATCTCTCGCCTCCTGCGAACTTTGCGCGGCTGGAGGGATTCGCGGAGCGCCATCTCCAAGCGCCCGGCGTCCCTGGGAGAAGATTCCGAGATTGAAGGGTCGGTTGGAGCTCGGTCGGTGGTCCAGCAGCGCTAGGGCTGCAGCGGGACGATACACAGCTCAGAAGCAAGGGGTTCCAGGCGATAGCTTCATGGTCCGCGAGCAAGACAGGCGGGGGAAGCTCTGATGGGGATACCGGAGGAGGGGATTCACTGCACGGCCGGAGCTCAGAGTTCCGCGCGGGGCGTGCGCGCTGCGCGCACCATGACTCCGTAGCGAGGAGACGAAGCCTGCACGGTGGCGCTGGCGGCCTTGGCTGGTAGGTTTGGCGCAGTCCGGGCGCTTGGAGCCACTACCTGCCTACTGCGCCTCGGCGCGCTCGGAGCCCGCCGGGAGCAATCAGAGCTTGGCTAGCGCCCCCGCGCCCCGCGCCGCCGCGCCCACTCGCAGCATCCTCCTCGTCCCTCCTCGTCCAAGTTTAGTCGCGGCCGCCCCGGCTGCCCGCCTGCTCGCGAGGCTCCTCTGCTTCTCGAAAAGCAGAGCCCAGGCAGCCAAGTGCGTGCAGGCGAACTGCGCGCTGCACGCGCGGGACTCGAGACAGTCTGGCCCAGCAGCCTCAGCTTGGGCCCTCCGTCGGGCGAACTGTCCCCGGGAACTTTCTCTCTGGCTCCTTGGCGGCCGGCGCCTGCGTCTGCGAAGCCGTGGCGCCTCCCGCAAGCTGCTCTCGCCTCCCTACTCCTCCCCTCCCGCCCGCCCGCCTCTCACGCTCCCTCCCCTGCACGTGTACGCCTCCCCTAGGGCACTCTCCCCTTGCGCTTCTCCCTTTCCCCGGGGGAGGCCCAACCACTGACCAATATAATCCCTTTTCCTTGCCCCCCTTTTTTCTCCTTCTGACCCTGGGGAGCCGAAATGAGTCCTCAGCATCTGTGGTTATTGTACGGTGGAACAGGTTACCGCATCGCCAGGGACTCGCAGAATCAGGTTTCCATAGAACTCTCGCTCGGGTCCTGGTTCTTCACGAGCCCCCTAAGCGACTCAGGAGGTCACCACCACCACTCCTAGGTCGCCACTGCACAAGCAGCTTAATTGTTCGCTTAGCGCTAACAAACAGGCTTGCACCAAGCCAACCGTCGCCCGCAGGGACCGGTTTCTGTAGGGCTCTCAGGGCTAACTAGGGACCTGGGGGGGGGGGGGGCAACACCGACCTGCAAAACGCTGGTAATCTGGCAGAGGGAGAAGCTCGGCAGTTCTGTGGCTCCACCAGCAACAGTTGCGAGCTTTTGATGTTTTGCAACCTTACAATTTTGCAGGACTTTCTGGTTTAGGTTTATTTGCCCACCTCCCTTCCTTTTGGCTCTCGAGTGTAAACCGCGTTTAAAATGTGACAGGAGTAAAATTTCCGAAGAGCAACAGAGGTGTCATGTGCAGAATAAAGGGGACCTTTATCGAGAAGGATCTCTAACTCAGACTTTTTCCCTGTCGGGTTTTACCCAGAGCCTACTAGGGGTTAAGTCCACTTAAAATCATATTTGGATCAAAGCCAACTCTGTTTAATTAAATAAATACATACCCACCATGTGTGGGCTCCGTGCCAAGTGCCAACCAGTCAAGAAACAAAACAACAGCAAAGCATGTGCATTAAGACCCAGTGTCTGCTTTCAAGGAACGCTGAACCAAAGGGGGCCGGTTCCTCAGATGCATGCCTAAGTGGGATTCTAAAAGTCAGTGTTTTGCAGAAAGAGCCAGCATTCCCTTGCTGCTCATTAAGCCGCAGTGTGGTCCACAAGAGCCAAGGCATTGCCTGGGAGCTTAGGAGACTTGCAGGCAGCGCAGTTCCACCCTAGACCTACTGAGCAACCATGTGCGTTTTAAACCAGATTCCCTGGAGACCTCGGGCACAGTCAATTATGAGGAGTTCTCTTCTGGGGACTGTCCGGGAAAAATGCCTCCTTCTGCTGGCCACCACTTGCAAGGATCCTTTGTACTGCATTGACAGGATCATTTTACATTTGTTAGTCAAGCAGGGGGACAGACAAGTAAGAGGTACCTAGTGGGCTGGGGCCGTGGTAGTGGTGGTGGTGGTGGTGGTGGTGATGGGGAATCAGTGTTTCCGGCATCTTCCTTTCTATACATTGTTCAGTATGGTCAGGAGAATGGGAGAGTTTATTAGCTATAGAAAAAGAAGCAAAATAAAGGGACAGGGAGCAGACAGGCAGACAGGTAGGCAGGTAGATAAATAGCAGATCACCAAATCCGAGGCTTACAAACACCCCGCAGAATGTGCCTGGGGAAGCTGAGGCAGTCAAACTGCAGTTCCCAGGTGAGCGGTCTCTTCACAAATGAGTTTCTCACTGCCAAACTTCTGGCTCTTGTTTCCCACTGCCGGCATTTTTTTTAATCATGGGGGGAGGGCAATAGTAAGATCTATTGGAAAGGCTTTACCTTCTAGCTGCTCTCAAGGACACAATGCTCTTATTCTTGGGCATTTTGCTGTTTTCCCCCTCCCTATCACAGAGTTGGAGGAAGGCAGTCCATCCCCAGATAAGGGATCTTGAGACAGAAACATAATAGGGTCTGGAGCAGGGAATCATGGCCTCATTTCCAACTTCTCAGAGAACCCAAACAACACAGGATAATTTGCCGATATAATGGGCATTACAAAGATCCTGTGGGCACAAAACTGATCCACAAGTGGAAAGCCCTAGAGGGTATGAAACAGAGCCAAGGAGGGCCTTGTGTAGAACCATCCAGAATTCTGTCTGGTCTGTAGTGGTGTCTCATCCTTGAGGCTCATCCTCCAGCTTGGTGCTGACTACCAAGCACCAACACTGGAGATTGAACAGTTACTTTCCACACAGCTTCAGACTTTCCTTCTCATGGACAAGGATGAATTCATCAATAACAAAAGGAAGAAACTGTTAAATATGTTACTTGGAAAGCTGCGTGGCAAGGGCCCTTGATACCCAATTTAAGACAAAGAGCTTATGTGATAATACTTCTATGTCTGATATCCAAGACAGCATTCAGGTAACAATAGATAAAGCAACAGTAGGGGGAAAAAAACAAACAAACAAAACACCAAATAAATAAATAAACCCAGCAGCTTGTTTTTAATATTTAATACTTAAAACTTGCATCCATGAAGTTCACATAGGGCTAATGAAAACAGAAAGCTGATTCCAGATCAGATCAGAGGAGTCATTAGTTTCCACCTGGAAATGTTCAGCCAGCCCTGGAGTAGAACACTTCTTCTCCTTGACATTTTTCAACTGCTTTCAGTTAATAGTTAGCATCCTTGGAATGATCTCACATGCACAAATGGATTCCTTTTATTTGACAGTTTAAAAAGCAATTTGTTTGAAATTGTACTTTTTTTTTGGCTTCATGTAAATAGTGCCCATTACCAAATAGCCTCAACAACAGTGCTAATGACTCAGCTCACAGAAGACAGAATTAGATATTATGTACCTTTCAAATTCAAAGCATTCAGGAGCATTTCCTCAATCAGCTAGACCACAGGCACAAATAGAAAGTACTTTCCTGGGTTTATCTTGAGCCCTGGCATCAATGCCACTGGACGCTGAGTGTCTCTTTCTGCAATTGGACATTTTCTTTTTGTTTGACACGGTAGATGTCCATACAACCAGGCAGTGGCTCAGTCGGCGGGGGATGGGTGCAGTGCTGATTTTCTTTAAGAAACGTTTCTTTTTTCTTTTCTTTTCTTGTCCTTTCCTTTCTTTTCTTTCAAGACAGGGGTTCTCTGTACTTTGGGAGCCTGTCCTGGAACTTGCTCTTGTAGACCAGGCAGGCCTCAAACTCACAGAGATCCGCCTACCTCTGCCTCCCGAGTGCTGGGATTAAAGGTGTGCACCACCACTGCCCTGGCTCCTATTTTGAAATAGCAATAAACCTTGCTATTTTATCAGCATCTTACTTGGGTTTTACAGTCTGCTCGAATGACCTCTGTGACTTCCCTAAAGTTATTTGTGGGGGGAACATATGCATGTGTGTGCATATGTGTGCACCAGGGTACATGTATAGGCCAGAGGTTCACATTGGGTGTCTTCTTCCTTTACTTTCCACCTTTTTTTTTTTTTTTTTTCAGAAAGAGTTGAGATCTCACCAAACCGAGAGCTCACCACTTTGAGCTAGACTGATTGATCAATGAGCGTCAGGGTCCAGATGTCTCTTGTCCCTCATACCTCCAACACTGGGCTTATAGCTGCATGCCACCATGCCTGACTTTTATGTGGGTCATGTGTGCTGTGGATTTGAACTTAGACCCATTGCTTCAAGCAAGCACTTTGCCCGCTGGGCCGCCCTCCCATCCCAACTCCGTGACTTCTAGTTCCTCCTCTTTAAGAAGATCGATTCAGTTTGTCTTAGCCAGGCAATGGTTCTCAGCCTTTCTTGTGCCTCTGAATCCCCTGGACGGTTTGTTAAAACCTACCCTGCTGAGCCCTACTCGGGTTTCTGCTCGAGTCATCCTGGGCGAGGCCTGAGTATTTCTATTTCTAGAACCTTCCTAAGTAAAACAAATGCTGCCTGTCCTGGGCTCACACTTGGAGAACCGAGGGGCCGGATTGCGCTGTGTGAAGAAGGACAAAGCAAATGATTGAAGTTTCTGTTTGGCTCACGCTGTTTGTCAGGGGCAGTGTATCAAGGGGTGGGGCCACCCAGGTACCTGGGATCAGCCGCAGCAGCACCCATTACAGCCTGTCGTGCCAAGGGAAAAGGGACCTGCAGCCTCCTGTGCTGGCTACTGATGCTGTAATCTGGAGGTGGCCTGTTGACCAAGGCTTGCTGTTTTCTGGCCTGGCCTCACCAAGCCGAGGGGACTAAACGTGTTGTTGTTGTTGTTGTTGTTGTTGTTGGAGCTGCGGGACTCCAGCTCTGCAGTACCTTCTGCACCAGTGTAGACCTTCCCTACTCCTTGCCTTCTGAGCCTCTTCCTGCCTGCCCCTCCTCCTCCTGCTGGAGTTGGTTCCACGCTGTTCCAGAGGCCCCAGCAGACATCTCTACTATAGCGTGTCTGTCACACAGTTCAGTCTCCTCCTGGTAAGTGAGGGACACAAGGGCTTGCTATCTTATCTGCAGTTTGTGGTGTCCAGCCCACGAGGTGCTTAATAAAGCTCTTCCAGAAGAGGAAAACACATTTTTGTCTACGCACAGAGGAGATACCCAGCAGTTCGCTGCCAGCCACGCTCACTGCCACTTCAGCGCCAGGCCAGACTTGTACCTACGTTCTCAGTCAAGGTCATCAGGGACTTGTGGCCACATCTCAGTGCACTTGGACACTCCTGCCTGGCCCTTCTTACAACAGTCACATCGTCAACTTACTTAACAACGCTGCTTCTCTTAAACGAAGATAGGCAGTTGTGAAGTACTTTATTAACTTGCCCCTCAGATCCTTGTGATTTAAGTGCAGAAGCAGCCAATACCTATGTTCACTATTTTTTCAGTAGACACAGCCTGGACACCTAATATCAGAGCACTTTCCACTTTCCACACCATAACCTACACAGAATATATAACCAAAAGGATTATATAAAAAAATATATATATTTTTTTATAATATATAAAAGCAGACCACAGTCATGAGGGTCAGCTCCAGAGTGCCAAAGGGAACATGCGGTCAGACCAGGAGACACCTCAGAGGGTAAGTGCTGCTTAAACACAAAGACCTGAGTTGGGATCCCCAGGGCCTA